GCTCAGATGGGAACTTGAGGATCTCCTGTGCCACAGAAGAGAGACTTATAAAGGATGAAAGGTTGGAATTACCACCAAGGAGGAGTACTTGGCACTCGTCCATACCTGTAGGGAGCAGATCAGGAAAGCCAAGGCTGCAACTGAGCTCCATCTGGCTTCACATATCAAGGATAACAAAAAGTCCTTTTTTAGATATGTAGGGAGTTAGAAAAAAAGCAAAGGTAACATTGTACTCCTGCTGAACCAAACGGGAGAGCTGATAACTGACACCCAGGAAAAGGCCAACCTGCTTAACGGATACCTTGCATCAGTCTTTCATTAGTTCAATGGGACCACCCTGCCTAGCAAGATGTGGGATGGCCAGGGTGAGAGCGTATTTATACCCAGCATTGGTGTTGTTTTAGTAAAGGATCACCTTGAGAGGCTGGATACCTTCAAGTCAGCTGGTCCTGACAGATTACACCCTAGGGTACTCAAGGTGCTGGCAGGTGTCATAGCTCAACCATTGGCAAAAATATTCAAAAATTCGTGGCACTCAGGTGAAGTACCTGAAGACTGGAAGAAGGCCAATGTGGTACCCATCTTCAAGAAAGGGTGGAAAGTAGATCCCTGGAGTTACAGGCCAATCAGCTTGACCTCAATCTCTGGTAATATTGAGAAAATTATCAAGGAGACCCTTCTGGATAAGCTGGCTGAGGGCAACATCTTAAGGGATAGCCAGCATGGGTTTGTCCCGGGTAGGTCTTGCCTGACCAATCTCATCTCCTCCTATGACCAGGTGACGTATCACCTGGACAAGGGAGAAGAGATTGATGTCATATACCCAGACTTTAAAAAAGCCTTTGATCTGGTGTCCCATGACCTCCTTATGACAAAATTGGCCAACTGTGGCCTTGGCTACACCACGGTCCGATGACTGGGAAATTGGCTCTGAGGCTGGACCCAGAGAGTAGTGGTCGATGGCAGTGAGTCATTATGGCGCTCCATGACCAGTGGCATCCCCCAAGGCTCTGTCCTTGGACCGCTTCTTTTCAACATCTTTATCAACAATGTGGACATTGGTTTCAGAAGTGCACTGGCTAAGTTCACCGATGACACTAAATTTCGGGGCATAGTGTCCACACCTGAGGACAGGCTAGTGATTCAGGCTGACTTGGATAAGTTTAGTAAGTGGGCGGACACAAACCTGATGACATTCAACACTGATAAATGCAAGGTACTCCACCTTGGGGTGGGGGGGAGGGAGGGAGAAAACCTGCAGCATATTTATAGACTTGGCAGTGCTATGCTTGCTAGCACCACTGCTGAAAGAGACTTTGGGGTCATGATTGACCACAAGATGAACATGAGCCACCAATGCAATGTTGCAGCTGGTAAAGCAAACAAAACCCTGGCTTGCATCTGTAGATGCTTCTCAAGTAAATCTCAGGATGTCATCCTCCTACTGTACTCGGTCTTGGTGAGGCCTCAGCTGGAGTACTGCATCCAATTTTGGGCTCTGCAATTCAAGAAGGATGTTGAGAAGCTTGAGAGTCCAGCAGAGAGCTATGCATATGATCAGAGGGCAGGAGAATAGGCCTTATGAATAGAGGCTGAAAGCCATGTGACTCTTCAGTCTGGAAAAGCACAGGCTTAGGGGGGACCTGGTGGCTGCCTATAAGTACACAAGGGGTGTTCATCAAGATCTGGGAGAACATCTGTTCACCAGAGCACCCCAAGGAAAAACAAGGACCAGCCATCATAAACTCCTACAAGACTCTTTTAGGCTGGACATAAGAAAACATTTCTTTACTGTCTGAGCCCCCAAGACTTGGAAAAGACTCCCTCCAGATGTTCTGGACTTATTCAAGAAATGCTTGGATGCTTATCTTGCTGTGGTCTTTTGACCCTAGTTGACTTCCTGCCCCTGGGGCAGGGGGCTGGACTTGATGATCGTTGAGGTCCCTTCCAGCTCTTACATCTATGAAATCCACCTGCTATGAATCCATGCTGATTGCCCTGCTGCATTATTTTTCCTGCTGGACTTGCACAAATAAGATCCTTAATAATTTTGTCAAAGACTTTTCCAAGGAGAGAGGTGAGACTATTGTGGACTGTTGTGGAAGGACATTGTTAGGGTAACGATACGGATTTTGGATGTTGAGGTAACGACATGGAATATGGGGGTGCTGAGTGTGCAGCTGAATGAAGGCTTTTTCTGTGTCTCAGCAAAAAGCTGCTGGTCACAAGTGTCGGGTAGTCACCAGGTACAGGTGTGTACCCCTACATCCCGCTGACATTCACTGGTCCCCTTAGGGTGGCTGCATCCCTTATGGTTGATCTGGGTGAGGTCTGGTGCCCTTTCTTCCCACCTACCACGACTTTGATGATAAGAAGAAGTTTATGAAAGGGAGGTGGTGACTACCTGTCCTACACCTGGATTGACCGAGGGGGCTGCCCCAGTGCCCAAAGCCTCAGGATAAAACCGATGAAAGAACCCACTCAAAACCAATTTCTTTACTCTCTTCTCATTTTATTTTTTGGGGTTAACTGAAATCTTATTGCTTGGTCTTTGTCTTCCTTTGGGCACCATCAAAGTCTGGTCCCAAATAGCTGGGGCTTTGTTACCCCTCGGAGTCTGCCGATGGCTTGGTCTCTGCCTGGGATTCCTTCTGGATACTTTGTTAATTGTGACTGTACCAGGCTTAATTGGTGGCACATGCTGCTCACTGAGGAGGGGAACTCCCTCTTCCCCAATCAGCTGGTATGGAGGTGCAGTCGTCTCAGCCCATTGGCTTTCCGCCTACTCCCGATCCAGTCATGGTACCCTTTTGGGGCACATGATCCCCTCTTCCATGTGGAGGAGGCTGGGTCCCGATCCGCAGCTCCAGCTTTCGCAGCCTTCCTCCTACGTCTCCGGCTCCCAGGCTTCTTCCTTCTCCTTTCCCGCTGTCCTTCTCTTCTCCCTGGCTCCGTTTCCCACCCCTGGATATTGCCCCCTCTGTGGATTAGCTCCAATCCGCTTCACCTGGTGAGGAGGTAAAGCAGGGCAGGTGCGGATGGGGAGCTCCTGTCGCAGCGTGGCTGTCCTGATATGGTGAGGTCCGTGATCCTGGCCGGGGTTGTACTCCAGGTGAGTACCCTCTGGACTCTCACAACAAGGCTGGATGATATATTAAAAGGTAACCTCAGCAAAAAGCTGGTGGTCACAAGGGTAGCTGATATATTAAAAGCAACTAACTTAGCTAATGCTTAAGTAAACGGAATCTTAACGGGGCAGTAGGGTGCAAAGTGCATGATGTGTTTAAAAATAGAATATCCCACCAACTAGTGTCAGGAGACAAAAACAGAAATACAGCCTTGGAGATGGGGAAGTCAGCAAGAAAACCAGCAAGAATCAGTGAGAAACCACAGGTGATCGAGAGAAGGGTGGGGGGTTAAAGTCTTACGCATGCGCTCTTAGCAAAGAGGCATGTAAATGAATGAAATGCATAGGCAATAATATGCTAAGGAAGCAAACAGTAAACAGAGGTGGAGCTTGAGATAGGAGGAGAAATGCGTGAAACCAAAGGTGGGATGAGGGTGGAGTAAATGTTAATATGTATGAACCAAGGTGTATAAATGTTGGAAAGAACTGTTGTTCAGGGCAGGACCCTGTCTTTTATGGAGTGAGACCCTTGTCTGAAGTTGTCTCCATTCTGAATAAAGCTGTTGCGAACAATGTGTTTGCTTCCTGCTCTGCTCTGGCTAATGAGTAATGGGATCCATGGGTAATTGGACCATTGTCTCCCTAGTTGTTGGGCGCTGCATGGAGTAGGGGTCTAACAGACATTAGTATTTGAAATCATCCTGAATATAAAAATCTATATAATTCACCAGAGAGTCTATCTCAAACTCAGTTTGATGTTTTGAATCTGGAAGCCTAACTTCTGGAAGCCTAATTCCATTCAAATGGCCTCTTGTTTTCCAAAAATGCTGTTGGTTTACTCAGAAGTATTTTTTTTCTGCTAAAAAAAATTGTTTGCTGGTTACTTAAAAGGCATACAGCATAATTTAGTGAGTCTTCTTTGAACTGATCCACAGAAAATTATCCTTTTTGTCTTTTTTAACTACTATGAATTATAATTACACACTTCAAAATTTGTTCAAGAAATGGAATACCAAGTGAGTGCGAGTTTATAAAAAACACTACTTGCTAGTTTTAAAATATAGTTAAGCCAGAGCCATCTGAATTTAAAGAGGGAGGGCCAGATTTTATCACTTTCTCAAAGTGTGGTGTACTTACTCTGGGAGTAGTAGATAATACCTAAATAGAAGAGTAGCCGTTCTGGTCTGGCACTCTAAAAAGTGTACTTAAAATCCTTATAGATCACGTTTACTTTCTTCCCCTGATCACAACACTGTGTGGAGAACAAGCATGGCATTTGGCCACATTCATCCCTGGGGGAAATCTATTGAAGTCAGTGAAATTACAGCAGTGATGCACGTGATCTATATATTACCTTTCTTGGTATGGAGGCACTTTCCAATACTATTGAACCTATTCTGACCTTCATTTGATCTGATCTTGATATTTACCAATTTAAAAGGCTTTTCTGGAGGCTGCCTACTCATAATAGCATAATATCAAAGCTTACCTTTACAGTTGCTTTGTCAGCAATATTGCCCGTTGTTAAACATGATAGATATTGTATGTGTGTTTTGAGGAGGATGGGAGAGGTTAGTGAATGCACTGCCCCAAGCAAATCAATGACTATGGAAAGAAAGGACACATACTTTTGGTACCTCTTCCTCTCTAATTGGAAATTAAAATTGATTTTTGTTGTAGTCTATATTTGAGTCTGTTGATATGCTGTGTTGCATTCTAGCCAACACACTAAAACACCGTCTGAAATATTTCTTGGTTGGCTTTATTTCCTCAGCTACCTAGGCCAATGCACAAATAGCCTAAAAGTATGTCAATAGTTACTTAAAACCATTTTTCCCTTTTAATTTTTTTGTTTGTTGTTGTTTTTACAGAGTCACACCAGCACTCAAAGATAAAAATGGCATGCTTAAGAGCAAAGGGAAAGAAGAAAGTAGAGGGCCCACTCAGGATCACAGAGCTGAAGATAAAGACTAAGGCCAGAGAAGAAAAAGGGTAAGGCTAAAATCAAATAGAGATGCAATTCAATAGGAGACAGGGTCATCTTCGTGAGAGGCCAGAGATGTGGGTTCTCCAACTTCAGTTAAATCTCATAATTATAGCTTATTGGACCTTCTAGCACTAATACGTGTTGAAAGATGCTGTTGGATTAGGTACTTAAAGTGTTAATGTGTAAAGTCTTGCCACGTTAGGAAATAGTGCTGAGTGTCTATGGGTTATCAATAAAGCATTTACTCTTGTAGCCACGTATAATCCTGTCTGAACCATACTGTGGCAAAAAAATCAGTAGAGTTGTGCAATTTGGCCTATCATACTAATCACTAATTTCCAATATTATTTGTTACTTTATGATCTAAACCTGCATGGGTCTGTATATTTTCCATGATATACTGAATGTCTCCAATTGCCTCTTAACTGGATCCAGATTTGGAAGTGTTCAGCACTGGAGGGGGCATTCATCAGCTGGTAAGACTGGACTCTTACTTCACTGCTTCTTGTTTTGATCCTTTGATCTTTTATATTGCTCCTTGCACTGGCTTTTCTTTCTTATTATGTTTTTTCATATATTTTCTCCACTGTATTTTTCTGTGGAATGATGCATTACAAAACCCAGCCACTGGATCCAGCCCTGGGGCGTCTCTTTTCATGCTCTACCCCCTACACCAATCTATTTTTTGCGCTCCCTGGCCCTTTGCCCCCTAACCAGCCATCCCTCTCAACCCCCATCCCACAAACTGCTCCAGGTGCAACCACTTTTATCAGTGTTCAGAACTGAACAAATAAGTCCTGGTGAAGGGAGGGGTGGGAGATATGGGGGTAAAGGTTTGCAGGGGGGGACCCCATCCCCATTTGACCCTATCTATAGGTTGTGCCTACCCCCCACCCCTTGTGGGTCATGCCTGCCGCTCCCATACAATCCACGTGTCGTGTCTGACCCCCATCCCCTGGTGGACCCCTGATCCCCTCCAGCCTGATGGACTCAAAACCCACCCATTATCCCCCCATAATGACTTACCCATGGGAAGCGATTTTTAATTGATTTAACCTCTCCTAATGCTCCCAGATTTCTGTACTTGGCCTAGCAGGGGTAGTAAAGCACTGGAACAGGTTAAGATTTTTAAGACTCAGCTAGACAAAGCCTTAGGTAGGATGATTTAGTTGGGGACGGACCTGCTTTGAGCAAGGCATCGGACTAGATGATCTCCTGAGATCCCTTCAAACCTAATTTTCTATGATTCTATGATCTCTGGTGATGTGTGTATGTTAATGACCCATCCTTTGAATATCCTAATTCAGGGGGTGCAGACTTTACTTAGGTTTTTATTATGCCTGAAAGAAGCTCTTCCCATGGGTTTTTTAGTATTTCTTATTTTAGATGAACTTTCTACTTTCTGAGAGTGATACAAGGGTAGAATTTTTTTATGGTTTACTTTGAAGGGGAAGTTCAGCTGAGAGTCAGTTATAGAAAATCAGGATGAAGGGACATTGAGAAATCATCTACCAGTCCTCTTGCAAAAAGAGAGAATATCTTAATCATTTTAGACATTCATTGTCTTACCTCCTCTTAAAATCCTCCCTGATGGTGATTCAGCTTTTCCTAGGTAACTTTTCCACGTGGTAAAAAACTTCTTCTTCCTAATACTCAACTTATATTTCCCTTGTCTACAATTTAAGCTCATTGTTTCTTGTCTTTTCCCTAGTACATATGAAGAACAGTTTATAATCTTTCTCCTTACAGTAACCTTTTGCATATCTGAAGTCTTTTTAAAATATTTCCCCTCTGTTGTCTTATCTCTAGACTAATCAAAGCCATCTCCTTTGGTCATAGATCATGTTTTCTCACTTCTGATCACTGATGGTACTCTCTTCTAGATTATCATCACTTGGTCATATCTTTCTTGAAGTACAGTGCCTCAAACTTGGACAGTTCTTCACCTGAGTATTCACTTACTTAGTGCTGAGTAGAGTGGAAGATTTATTTAATGTATTTCAATACACTCTTCCTATTTATATATACTAGTATGATGTTATATATTTTGCAACAGTTTACTGATCCATGTTTGTTGTGATATACTGTAGTCATTAGATCCTTATTTGTAGAACTGCTGACTAGTCAGCTGTTCTTCATTTGTATTTGAACAATTGATTATTCCTATGTTTGTTATTTTGTACTTTCCTTTATTGAATTTCAGACCATTTCTTCCATTTGTCAATATTGTTTTGAATTCTAATCCTGCCCTCCTTAGTGCTTGTAAGCCCACCCAGTTTGGTATAAACTGCAAGTTTAATAACTGTACTCTATTCCCTGTGTAACAGACTATGGGTTCTATGGTAATCTTGTTGTTATACATGTGTGGCAGGCTTGCCAGCAGCAGCCTGACTTGATGGCTTGAGCCAGATGGCTCAGGCATTCCCCTTCCCCACCAATCAAAAGAGGGTAGGAGAGAGGCTAGCCCCATCCTGACCTAGGGGGTGAGATGAAGAAGAGGACCTGAGAGGGAACTAACCTCTCAGGCTTTCCCATTGGTCCATTCTCAATCTGGGGCTGAGTCTTCAGAAGGAATAAAAACCCATGTACCCAGCACATGGGTAGCTTTGATGAGGGTCGATGAAGACAGGCTGCAGAAGAGCTGGTGAGAACTGACCTGCGGAAGTGGAGCCAGTTGCCTCAGAAGAGCCCTGAAGGAAGCCCAGTGTGCAGAGTGGCACGTGGCAAACTGGCCAGTGGCAGCTCTCTTTGGCATGTGGGCAGCATGCAGGGAATCCCCTGGCCTCGGGGCTGCAGGCGGCACCCGGCTGGGACCCCACAGATGATGGCTGCTCTTGGTGGTTCCCTTCAGTGTGCAGGTGGCACACAGGAAATCTCCAAGCCTCAGGGCTTCCAGAGGCAGCCCAGCTGGAAACCCACAGGTGTCAGCTCCTTTCAGTGGCTCCCTTTGGTTTATGGGTGGCATGCAGGGAATGTCTCGGGGCTGCAGGAGGCAGCTTCTCTCAGCGGCTCCCTTCCATGTTTGGGTGGCATGCAGGGAAACCCCAGCCTTGGGGTTAGCCAGCTGGGATGGCAGGGAGTGGCTTATGAGCACGTCAGTCAGCAGGCTGTGCGGCTGGCCAGGGGAGGCTCCCGGAAGGACAAAAGCCCGAGCAGCAGCCAGTAACTCAGCCTTTGTTAGCTTAGTGGTGGAATTCTTGTCTGGCACACTGGAGACCTGGGTCTGAGATCTGGTCAAGGTAACTGAGGGGTAAGTTGTCAGAAAGAGGAGATATACACTGGGGAGGTTGGCTCCACATCTTTTTCCTCTCCCTGCCCCTCCAGAGTACATGCATCTCATATTTTGTCCGGGTTACATATGTTTAGATTAGTGACTTATCCCTGCTGGGTTTTTTCTGCTGACCTACTGTTTAATTTGTGTTGTTACTGTTGACTGTTCCTTTGCCTGTTGCCTGGAGAGCCTGCTGAGGGTAGGGGCTGTACACCAACGGTAAGGCCGAAGAGGGTCAAGGCCTATACGGATATAGTGTCTTCATCTGCCATACCCAGCTGAGATTGCCTGGGTAATTGTTTGGTGAATTAATATTTGTAAATAGTATACATGAATATATGTATATATGTTTCTATATGTTTATAGACATTGTACTATACAAGTTAACCTGTAAATAGTTAAATATCCTTGGGTGTACCTGGTCTCTGCTCTGCTGCATAGGGGAGGGAGCTGAGCTGGCCTAAAGCTAGGCGGTCATGCTCTCACAGCATGGTCACACCCTGCTAACATCCCTTCAATTGAAGAGCGGGTACCAACCACGTACCACCTGGACTACAGATGTGTTCAGGTTGTTTTAATGTTTTGTGCTTTGGGTGACCTGTAAAAGTAGTACACAAGGAAAGAAGAGTTATAGAGCGCCTGTTACCTCCCTGCTGTTGAGAACTGTCTAGCATTGGAGAAGACTAGATGGATTTCCAGCATCAACAGAGCAAACAGCTTTGTTGACATGTCAACAGATGTGGTATTGCCAAGGGCTCCAGGGAAGCTGAAGGGAATAAACATTGCAGTGAATAGGGCAGGGACCAAGGAGAGTGTCTGGCTGGTCAGGGTTTGTCTGAGGGGAGGGAGAGTAGCTGGGCAGCTTTGGGACTTGTATTTGTGTTGATTGGAGAAAGAACAGCTGAGCAAACTTTGTGTGATAAAGGCTGTGTAAGGTGGATTTGGGAAAGAGGAACTGCTTAACCCTCTGAAGGGAGCAGAGAACTGTTCCTGGGGGGCCTTTACCCTAGTAAATGCCTTTATTGAAGAAAAACTGTCTGTCTTGCTGCTTGGAAGTTCAGGGCACACTTGTTCTTCCCCAAAAGATTCAAAGTTCCTCTCTCAGGAGTGGAACCAGAAAGGAGCTCTCTGAGGCAGGGCCACAGAAAACCAGGGAGCATGAAGGATTGGTGGAAAGGCCATGGTCTTAGAGTGGAATAGATTTAGGGTTCTCTTCCTTACAGAAGAAGTTGTGCCTAGGCTGGCTTCAGGGAGCACTTGGAGAGACCAGACAAGACCTTCAGGGTCCTGCACAAGCATTGCCTCAGGGGAGACTCCATGACAATCATCTAAGTCATTTAATCAAAATATTCAGTAGTTACTAGTCAAGGACAGACCCTTATAGAACTCCAATTAGTACATTCTTCCAGCAAGAATAAGACTTAAGAGTACGATATTCCAACCAATTGTGTTCCCTCCTTATAATAGTTTCTTAAAAACCATGTGTTTCTAGTTTGTTTAAAAGGATACTATATGGGGCAGTGTGAAAATCTTACTGAAGTCCAGATATATCATGTTTGCCTTTTTAAATTTGTAAGGCCTGTTATCATATCATAGAATTAAATTAGGTTGTTTGGACATGACTTATTCTTGATAGATCAATGTTGGCTATTGCTTATCACCTTAGTGTATGGAGTTTTTGAAAAAAATCATTGAATTACTAGTTTCAATATATTTCCAAGAGTTAGATTCAGA